GCATGAATATTTAGAGCCCGTTTGGTATCACGAAAATAGGCTGATCCGACTTATTTTTCTGAAATTTATGAAGTTTTGGCTGAAGTGGCTTCATTGGCTAATTATGCTCATTTAAGAAACAATTCTTAATAAAATAAAGATAAATTATATGTAAAAATAGCTAAAATGATCATCTATAGTAACTTCAGCCAATACATCTAGAAAAGTAACTTCAACCTTACTTTTTCTTAATATTACACAATTCAGCGCACGAAGACAAAAATTACGTGTTTGGTGAAAAGGTTGGCTGATAAGCCGAAAAACAATGTTACCAAACGGCCTCTTAGCCTATTAATTATCCAATGTATATAGGCACTTAAACTAGCCTTAATATTATACGGTATATTCCGTGATTTAAGCGTAACTTATCATTATAATTAATATAAATACCTATGTAGACAAATCAATTTTATACTTGGACTGTTTTCAGTCCAGACCAGACCAAACCAAACATGAATAATTATAAAATTAAATATACAGAGATCAGACATTTATCAGGCCAGATCAAATAAAAAAAACTAAGTAAAAACATCCATAATTTGCATTAAAGTAAAGCTAATGTTTTATAGTGGATGCGTTCAACAAAAAATATACGAAGTACTCCATCCGTCCCTTATAACTTTGTCAAGTTTCCTTTTTTGGTTGTCCCAAAAACTTTGCCACTTTCTCTTTTAATCAACCAATTTGTGGCTCCTGTTATTTCTCTCTCCTCTGCATAAATCTCTACCACACAGTTTTTACTTTATTATTCTACGTGCCAGTCAAACTTGGCAATCCTTTTAGGGACGGAGGAAGTATAAGTTAAGGGATTTTTCCTTGAATATTACCAAATTAAAGGTGATTTCCAAAAATGTGACCATTTTTTAAAAGGACAAAATTGTGACTAAGAAGATAACATATTTGAAAAAAAATGATGTCACTATATTTTTTATGTCACTGTCATATTTTCATGTCACTGTTCTATGTCACTATCAGATATTTATGGCACTTTTGAATGTCACTATATATTTTCGTAAAACATGTCACTATTCCCGTAAAACATGTCACTATTGTTGTAAAACACGTCACTATAAGTATCCAAAAATTTTTACGAACAACCACCACGCCCGCGCCACCACATCTGGTGGTCCGCCACCCCGTCTAATGGCTGCCAACCCCTCTCTAGTGGACAAACACTGTACAACCGCTACCCCCCGCCCACTGCCCCCAGTACCCCTCCTGCACCACAACCTTCTGCCATAACCAAGCCACCGCCACCAACCCTCCCCCCATCTCCCTCGCCACCGGTCAAACTGCCGCCCCCACCGCTAAACATTAACTTTAGAAAATGAAGCTCTGCCACGAAATTGAGAAGGATGGAGAACCATGGGATAGAAGAAGAGTAGGGATGACCTCGGTTCGGGCCGGGCTGGGCCTCGGTCCGGTTCCGACCGGGCTTTTTTTTGGAGAAGTGAGGCCCGGAAACCGGCCCGAGTAGCTCCGGTTCCGGTCGATTCACCCGGCAGTTACCGGGCCGGGTAACCTATTTTTTTTTATTTCTAAGTACTTTCTACCCCCCCCCCCCCCCAAACCCCTCCAAAACACCCAACCCATTTACCTTTTAAAAAATGTGAAAAACAAAAAAATGGCCCGAACCGGCCGAGCCGGTTCATGATTTGGGAGCCCCGTGAACCGCCCCTCTACAGTGTCGAGCCGGTTGGCCCGAACCGGTCAACAAACCGTGGACCGGGCTGAAACAGTGCCGGTTCGAGCCGGTTTCGGTTCGGTTCACCCGGTCCAAGTCCATCCCTAAGGAAGAGGAGAAGAAAATGAGGAAGGCAATCAGATTTGCGGCGAAGAGGAACGGTGGCGATGAGCTACACTGGAGGCAATGAGAATTGAAGGCGGCGATGCTACTCAGCGCAGGGAAGAAGCTGGTTGCCATTGATCGGAAGGGAGCAGACGAGGCGAATATGGCTAGGCGACTCTTTAGCAGTGACGGCTTCTCTTCTGCAGCGGCGGGTGGTCTTTAGTTCCATGGCAGATGCACAAACTCTAGGGTTGGGGTGAATGAAGATACTAGTATTATTCTTGTCATTCTTTCATAAGTTAATCATTCATGTACAAATGTAGTCCTTCCTTATCAATGATTTTTTATACCCCGTAGTATAAAAGAACAATATGGAATCCAAAGAAGTAATGTATTTTTTCTTCAAAAAATTTTTATGACATATTTTAACCAAAATTCTTACTATATCCATTAAAAAGTGGTGTTAAGTGAAATGGCTACATACATCAAAGGGGTTAGGTCATGTACATTACTAACTAAAAGCATTTGGACAGTATAAGACTTCTTTTATTAGCTTCTAAAAAGAGATCATACGTGTCGTTTGAGTGAAGTATGTAGTGGTGGACTCGGGTCGGGCCACCCATTCCGTGGACCGGCCCGGCCCGCTATTGTGCGGGACAGGGACCGGCCCGGTTCTCGGGTCCAGGTCGGGCCTAGGCCCGGGAGGAAGGTGGGTCCGGGCTCGGGTCTCACATTTGGCGAACTGACCCGGTCGGGTCGGGCCCGGGTCCGGGCCAAATTGATTTTTTTTTCATTTTTGGGGTTCCACTTGGGTTGGGCTTGATGGTTAGGAGGGGTTTGGGGGCGGGGGTTAGGAAAGCAAAAAAATAATAATAATACCCAAACCAGAACCGCCGATTTGGTTTGGTCCAACAATCCTGAACCGCCGGCCCGCCCAGGCCTAGGCCCCACCCGGACCCGACCCGGCCCGGCCCGAATCCACCCCTAGAAGTATGCCCAGCTGTCTAATGAATACGCACTAGCTCCTCAAAATGTTACAACCATTTTCAAAATAATAAAAAAATGATATTGCGTTTTATGGTGACTAGTGCACATTACCAACTATGCTACTCTTTTTATGGACATGATTAAGGTCATAGCATATCACTCATTCACTCCGTAAGAAAATTGAGAATATATGATGAGAAAATTGTCCTTAATAGGACTCTTTCATAGACTTTTGATCAAAATAAGACCACATTAGATTAATTACATCCGTAAGCCTAAATCACTCCTACTTTAGGAAACTTAAATTCTACTTGCCTAAAATACCCCTGAGTTTATATATCCTTTCAGCGTTTATCTTTCAGCGAAGTAACCGCCATAGTCCTTAGGAAACGCAGCTCAAGTTTCCCACCGCCAACGCCTTATGGACTTTTATCGTCTACCTTGTTTCACAACTTCGAGTTCAATTTCCATCAATTCCGAGTGATAATCTTCATTCCTGCTGCGAATTTATTGCGAAATTTGGACTCAGTTTCTCGGAATTTGCCGGACATTCCTGCCGCGAATTTTTTCTGTTGTAAGTTTGTATGATGTGTTCGAATTTTCATTCTGATTACATATTTTAGTTTGCTATCTTGGATGTTTACTTTGTTTATGAATTCTGAAATTAAATTTTCTTCATAATCTCAAATTATATTTTCGAGGTAATTTCATCATTAGATATAGTGAATTGTGTGTGTGTGTATAGGGAAGAGATCAAATAAAAAGAGGTTCTCACGTGCAAAGTGCGAATGGTTGCACTTTTTCCTCACCGCGTTGCACTTTTGCGTGTTTCTGTTGCACGTTTTCGCGATGGCAAAAAACTTCGTTTTAATTACGAAATTGTCACCGCGTTTTTGATCAAATTTAGTTCACTTTTGGCTCATTTTGAGTCATTAGATCTCGAAATGAATGCATGAGATTAATTCTCACTTTGCATGTGGAGACCTCTTTTTATTTGAACCCTCCCCTCTATATATATATATATATATATATATATATATATATATATATATATATATATATATATATATATATATATATATATATATATTGTTTTATGTTACCTGCTCTATTATTGAGCTATTATCAGAACTTACTGTCTATGTATTGCTTGCTATTGAGTATTATTAGAGCTTATTGTCTGACGAACTGCTTAATGTCTATGTATTGTCTAGTGTTTGCAAGTTTGATTTCGGATCTGGTTTCTTCAAAAAATTTGCAGAACACATGGTGGCCTTGTGAAAATATGAAATAGAAGTTCGAAATTAGCAAAATCAATGTCCAAAATCAGAAAAGAAGAAGAAGAAGAAGAAGAAGAAAATGAGGAAGAAGAAAATGAGGAAGAAAAAAATGAGGAAGAAGAAGACACCTTTGGCGGTGGCATCCAATGAAGTCAACCGGAGTAGGTATCTAGTGCGTCGGCGACGATGATTTCGACATTGGCGGCAGTGGTAATTCGATCTGAATCGATGAAGTTGTTTGGAACGAAGGGCAGGGGATGCAAGGGTGTCGAAGTTGTTTGATGCACAGGGGAGCCACCAGTTGCCACGACTTTGACAAGGGGAAGATGTTTGAGGCCGATGTGCTTGCAAAGTTGCAAGCTTGCTGGCTCGAACGCGATCGCTGGCTTCGACTTTGATGTTTTAGCGGATGCAAGCATCGCGATCCCAATTTCAGTTGCAGAAGATGAGTACATGTATTGAGCGATTGCCTATTAATTTTTAATTGAGGGTATAATTGTCACTCAAATCAAGTTTGGTCGTATAGCCTTACTTTTGGAAATGTACCGTCTTTTTGTACTATTTGTAAAATTTCCACATATATGATTTGGAGTGTTTCATGTTTCTTAAATATGATTAAAAAAGATGTTTCTTAAATAATTACACCAAATTTAAAACATATTTCAAACAATGCTACGTTTAAAATTTTATACCGACTACATAAGTACTTGCATTTACAAGATGCCAATATGATCAATTATGTCACATAATTTAGATGTTTGTGTACAGATAACATTGTCATGAAAGTATTACACCATATAAAAATTATTGAACTTCTTAACAATATAAATCATTTGAGAGTTTGTAAATATTGTGCACAATTAAATTAATTATAACTTATATTATAATACTTATAACAATGCTATGTTTAAAATTTTATACCGTGTACATAAGCACTCACATTTACAAGATGCCAAACTGATCAATTATGTCACATAATTTAGATGTTTTTGTACAGATAACATTAAGTCATGAAAGATTATTAAACTTCTTAACAATATTAATTATTTGAAAGTTTGTAAATATTGTGGACAATTAAGTTAATTATAACTTATATTATAATACTTATTACTCATAAATAAATCTAATAAATAAATCTAATCAAAGGTAACTCGGGAAGTTAATTTACTCATCATCCGCCTGTCAGAAATTAACTCGTCAAAACTCTCCAGTATCTAGAAGAAGACGGATTCAAGTGGATAGCTTGGAGCATCGCTCTTATAGGATTTGCATAACCCTCCAACAACGAGGATGATGACGAATCCTCTCCACCACCTTGTGATGCCCATCTTGAAACCAAATGCATTTGGAAGCACAGTTCTGCCGGCCTCATTTCTACAGGATTGAAAAGACAAAAATACAAGGCAAAGCAGCCATCAGCTAAAACGTGGTACTGTAGTTCACATAAACCACCAACACCAGTCACCATCAAAGAAACACCAAAAGTAATGTGCAGAGTAATAAATAGAGCTCGAAGCAATAAAACAAACCTGGTGGCCAACATGACCATTCCTCAAGAAGGTTTTTCACCCACTTAGTTTTTGATCCAAGGCTCGCTTCTAATAGCGCCAACAACAGTGAGACAAAAGGCATACGAACGGGAGTTGCATCTTTAGCTTTCTTTAGGCTCCTAATTGCAGTTTTTATGAACTTTGAATCACGATACTGCCTGGCAAGCTCCATGCAGATGGCACCTGAATTCTTTTACTTTTTAAATCCCCATACAACTCCCCATACATGATACAACCCATTCACGAAAAAAGAAAATCAAACATGAATTAAGATAATGGGTGATTCTTCATCAACAAACAACTCCCAAAAGATTTTGAGCATGTGATGTGAATAAGAATAATGAGTGATACTTCATTCTGAAAGAAAATTTGGAAATAGGTCAAGGAATCCCTAAAGTTAATATCTGATATCCAAGAATCAACATCTCAAAAGATAAACAGAAGTGATAGGTATAACCTTTTAAATAAATGTAAAGGCTGATATTTGAGTTAGATATAAACAACATCCCACTTCTAAGCATTAGCTTTAAAGAACCTAAGCAATTTAGGAAAACTGCCAACGTTAGAAAAATTCCCTGCCTGGGATGATTTATTATTAGTATTAACTATTAATATACTTCATCCATTTTTAAATACTTGCACCATGTTGACTTTTCCACTATTCATATTTTGAATTTTTTTGTTCCATTTGTTTCATTTTAAATTTTCAAAAATCTGATTTTTTTTGTGTTTTTTGCTAATAGCCACAACAACATCCAAGCCTTATTCCCAAAATATTTTGGAGTCTGTTAATATGAAATGATCCATGATATCAAAGCCAAAAAGAGAACAAGAATAAGAAAAATAAAAAGATAAACTAAAATAAAATGAATAAGATAAAAATAACATAAGAACATAAGAAAGATAAAGGATAAAAAAAGAAAAGAGCATAACAAATATAAAAATAACATAAGAACATAACAATATAAAGAAAATAAAAGAAAAAGAGAGTGAAAAGAGAAAAAAGAGATTAATCGTCCACAAGGATATGCGTCCTCAACTTTGCTCTCTCCAAAGCCAAGAAGAAGCATATCAGTTCTGATTTCTCTAATCCAAGTTTGTTTAGGTCTTCCTCTCCATCTGCTCCCCGCCTCTTCTCCTCACCTCTCAAGTCGTCTAACAGATGCATCATTCGGACTTCTGCCACACTCATTTTGAGTGTGACATTGTTTCAAGGTCCAACACTCCGCGCCACACATTAATGTAGGCCTAATTGTTGTCCGATAAAATTTATCCTTCAGTATATTCATCATACCTCGATCACGTAGAAATCCTGATGCACTCTTACATTTCATCCACCCTGCTCTGATGTGCTAATAGCCAATTAAATATTTTAATGGTGAAATTCACGTGTTGGCAAACTTGAAAATGAAAGTGTTGCAACTAAATAAAAACGGAGGTAGTGCAATGATTGCAAGGATCCTGATATGATATAGAGAGAAATAAATTCAAATGGAAATAGGACCCTAGCAAAACACAGAACCAAATCCTAAGAGGATACTTTCAATTTACACACTTAAGGATACATTTGTACTCAAGTACAGTCCCACATTCAAAGCGAGATAAAGATGAATGCCACGATTGCAACGAAAAATCCATGAAAAATGGGGACTAGAGGCCTATTGTGAAGTTGGGAAGCTGGGATGTAGAGGGGGCGTGGAGAGAATGGACTTGGCCAAGGGAAACTTTTTTTAAGAGTAAATGAGAGAAGACTTGTTGAGTAAATGGGAGATATGTTGCTGACTTGTTGAGGCTGATTTGGACGGTGATGAGTTCAGAAGATTGTCAAGTATTAGAGGAGACAGATCTTCAGGAGAGGAAATCATAGACTCAGGGAGGATGCGGTCAGGTGTGTGGAGTAAGGGAAATATGGTTTCATCAAAGGCAGCGTGGCAAAACAACAACATTACCCTAGTGCTGCAAAGGTTCCCACCTAGAGGACAAGTCATAACAAATGTGACTACGGTTAGAGGGTGGTATACCGAGAAGACACAAGGGTTGCTCAACGCAACATTATGTGGAGCTGTTATGTAGAGATTTGGTATTAATGTCGCCTAAAGGACAATACATGACAACGAGACAATGAGCGATCGCAAATAATATGGAACACCCGGTTGTACCATGTGCATGCTACAAGGTAAAATTATAATTCTTTACAAGTTTCAGCCTTAATGTTATAGATTCATTTGAACTCCGTGCTCTCTCCCGATGAAACTCCTGCTGCGCACCTGGATGGCTAGTTGGACACTGTTCCATTTTTTCCTTTATTTCAATTATCATCAATTTGAGTTTTGAAAACATTAGGGAACGATAATATGATTGAAACATCTTAATCTCTTTATTTCACTAATAGCAATCTACTAGTTTCCTTAAAACTATCTCCTCAATAGTAATGCCCACCAACTGTTCGTAAAATTCTGAAGTGAATTTGCGTTCATTTTTTGAACGAATTTAAATTATTGCACTTGAATAAAGTATTGACTATAACTCCGTCATGATATCATTTTTTTTTTGGTATCATGCCTGTCCCAAGCCAGGATAAAGGAGGAGGGTGTTGTGGTAGGCGTGTGACGGCCAACAGTATCACTTAGTCACATCACATGACATGAATCGAAATATGAATATCGCTAATGCTAGGCCGTCACCCGTAAGTGACGCGTCATCCCTCCGCCTGGGGGTGGTGTCAAATATGCAAGGGCGCGCTACATTTCGTAGACCTGAGTGTGGTGATAAGAATGCTAAGGTTGCTAGGTCGCCGCCCGGAAGCGGCGCGTCATCCCATTGCCCGAGGATGATGTCAAATGTGCAAGGGCATGGTGAATCCGAGATGGGGCTAAGAACAAAAGGTGGAGTGCTAGATTGCGTTTTAGGACATGGAATGTTGGGTCTCTTACAGGCAAATCTTCTGAGGTAGTCGAGGTTATGAGGAGAAGGAATATCAGCATTATGTGTGTGCAAGAAACTAAATGGGTTGGAGAGAAAGCACGCGAGATTAATCCCGGAGGTTTTAAGTTGTGGTATTCGGGGAGAGATAAGACCAGAAATGGGGTAGGCATTACTGTGGCGCGTGACTATGTTGAGGATGTGGTAGAAGTCTTCAAGAAGAACGATCGCATCATGAGCATTAAATTGGTGATAAGGGGTGAGATTGTGTCTGTGGTAAGTGCCTATGCACGACAAGTGGGATTGGATGCATCTACAACTCAACAGTTCTGGGAAGATCTTGAAGGCGTGGTGCGACGAGTGCCAAGGGGAGAGAAGTTGATCATAGGAGGTCACCTCAACGGGCATGTGGGCTCGAGTCGTGATGGCTTTGAGAGTATTCAAGGCGGACGTGGTTTTGGCACTAGGAATGAGGCGGGAAAGAACATTTTGAATTTTTCCTTGACGTATGAGTTGCCTATAATGAACACTTGGTTTAAGAAAAGAGACTCTCACCTTGTAACCTATAAAAGTGGAGCTAATAGTACCCAAATTGACTACTTCTTAGTACGAACCACTCGGAGAACTAGCTACACTGATTGTAAGGTTATTCCAGGTGAGAGTGTTATCACTCGGCATAGGATGCTTGTGCTTGACTTTTGAGGTAAGAACCATAGAAGACAAGTTAAACAACAAGTGGAGCCAAAGATAAAGTGGTCGAGGCTTGAGGGAGATCTTCAACAAAGCTTTACACACAAAATGGTCGGTGAAGATGTATGGCGTATTGATAATGAAACACATGTGGATGATGTATGATTATCAATGGAGTTGACCATTAACAAAGTGGCAAAAGAGGTACTTGGAGAATCTAAAGGATGTCTGCCACCTAAAAAGGACACATCTTGGTGGAATGATGAGGTCAAACAAGCCATAAGGAACAAAAGAGATTGCTACAAAAAGTTGGGGACAAGTTGGAGTGATGAGAACATAGAAGCATACAAGGAGGCTAAAAGACAAGCAAAGAAAGCCGTAAGGGAAGCATGAGGGAAAGTGAACAAGGAGTTATATGAAAAGTTGGACTCTAAGGAAGGAGAACTAGATATTTATAGACTTGCTCGTCTTCGTGATCGCAGGACTCGAGATATTGTAAAAGTTAAGTGTGTGAAGAATGTCGATCAGAGGATATTAAAGGAGAACATGGAGTTGTTTGGCTTCTCAACTCCATGGAGCCCTTAATTGCCAAACCTCGTATGTTTATGAAAACTGCAAAGGAGGTATGAGACTCTATTAAGGAAACTTATTCAGATCTTGAGAACTCTTCTAAAATTTTTGAACTCAAAACCAAGTTGTGGCAATCTAAACAAGGAAATAGGGATATCATTTCATACTACAATGAAATGGTATCTCTGTGGCAAGAATTAGATAAATAATATGGTGATGAAGAGTGGGAGAGTGCTAAGGATTTGGCCAGACATAAGAAAAGAGAAGAGAATGATAGGGTCTATATGTTTCTAGCAGGGATCAATAGGGACCTAGATGAAAGTATGAAACACTCCAGTACAACACTCCAGTACCTAATGAGGAACCTGGGGACTCTTCAGCTTTAGTGGCCAGAAGTGATGACAAGAAAAAACCTTGGTGTGATCACTGCAAGAAATTGTGGCACACAAGGGAAACATGCTGGAAACTTCATGGAAAACCACCAGGAGCTGGAAAGAAGAAAGTTGAAAGGGCCCTACAAACTACTGTGACTGAGACTCGACAAGAGTCAGGAGTTGAATCTAAACAGCTGCTTTTCACACAGGAACAGATAGAGTACCTACTCCAATTTATACCCACCCAGAAAATCTCCAACCAAGAAAACTCTTCCTGTTCTTTTGCCCAAAATGGTAAAATAACATCATTTTTTGTTCTGAAAAAACAAAAAGTACCTGGGTCATTGACTCAAGTGCAACAGACCACATGACCTACATTCCAAATCTCTTTTCTTCGTATCAACGTTGTGCAGGAGATAAGAAAGTTAGAGTTGCATATGGCTCTTTTTCAGCCATAGCAGGGATGCGAAATATTAAAATTTCCTCATCCATTAACCTTTCTAAAGTCTTACATGTTCCAAAACTTTCCTGCAATCTTATCTCTATTAGCAAAATAACCAAAGACCTTCAGTGTTGTGTAAAGTTTTATCTTTCTTATTGCATTTTTCAGGATCTGGCATCGGGGAGGATGATTGGCAGTGCTAGAGAGGAGGGTGGCCTATATGTTTTTGATGAAGGAACACAATTGAATAAACAAGGTCAAGAAAAATCTTGTCTGCAAACTATTTCCTTTTTTTGTAATAATGAAGTGTATTTAATGCACTATAGATTAGGTCACCCAAGTTTTTCCTATCTAAAAAGGTTGTTTTCTAAGTTATTTCATAATAAAAATCCTTCATCATTTCATTGTGATATGTGTGCACTTGCCAAACATCATAGGAGCTCTTATATCCCTCATAGTTACAAAACAACTAGTCCTTTTACTATTGTACACAGTGATATTTGGGGTGCATCTAGAGTTTCAACTTTGAAAGGAAAAAGGTGGTTTGTAACTATCATAGATGATCACACACGGGTCACATGGGTTTTTTTATTAAAGAAAAATCTGAGGTTGAAGATGTGTTTAAGAAATTTTACTCAATGGTTCAGACTCAATTCAATACTAATATCAAGATTGTGAGAAGTGACAATGGCCTTGAGTATTTTTCTAAGAATTTAAATAATTTTTTTGCTGAAAAAGGGATTATTCATCAAAGTTCCCGTATAAATACACCTGCTCAGAATGGAATAGCTGAGAGGAAAAATAGGCATTTGCTTGAAATCACTCGTGCAATTATGTTTTCTACTAGAGTTCCAAAATATTTATGGGGAGAAGCTGTTTTACATGCTACCTATTTAATTAATAGGATGCCATCAAAGACTCTAGGATTTAAAACTCCCATTGATACACTTCAAGCCAGTTTTCCTGAAACTAGGCTCATCAACTTTCTTCCCATAAAAATTTTTGGCTGCACAGATTTTGTTACCAACCCTGACAGAACTGCAAGCAAATTTGATCCTAGAGGCAAAAAATGTGTTTTCTTAGGACTATCTTCAACACAGAAAGGCTATAAATGTTTTGACCCTACAACAAAAAAGATGTTTGTAACAATGAACACTGTTTTTGTTGAAAATCAACCTTTTTTAGTACTCATCTTCAGGGGGAGATTCGTAATGAAGATGGTAATAATGTGTCACATATCCATGAAAAAACTTGAATTTCTTGACATTAGTTTAGATGCACAATATAATAGACAGTTAGATGCACTAGAAAATAGTAAAGAATCAAAAGAAAATGAAATAAAATTTTCTGAGACGAGGAAAGATGATGAACAACAAACAAGTAAATTTTTTGGCAAGGTTTATGAAAAGAGAGTTCCAAAGCAAAGAATAGAGGACATCTCTGATCCTGCCACTGCTCATGAATCTGACTCAATGTCAGAAAATGACAAAGGTAATAATTCCAGTGATCTAAATCTACCCATTGCTCTCAGAAAAGAAAAAAAATCATGTGTTAAATACCTTATCTCAAACTATGTGTCTTATTCTCAGTTATCTGCATCATTTGCAGCCATTACCTCTAGCCTTTCCACAGTTTCTATTCCCTTAACCATACATGAAGCTCTATCTAAACCTGAGTGGAAGAAGGCTGTTTTAGAGGAAATGAATGCTCTTGAAAAGAATCAGACATGGCAGGTTGTGCAATTACCCAAGAACAAACCAACTGTGGGATGCAAATGGGTATTTACCCCTAAATTCAAGGCAGATGGTACACTTGAAAGATATAAGGCCAAATTTGTTGCCAAAGGATATACACAAACCTATGGCATAGATTATACAGAAACTTTTGCTCCAGTTGCAAAATTAAATACTATATGGATCCTTCTATCTCTAGCTGCTAACCTAGACTGGCCTCTTCAATAGTTAGATGTGAAGAATGCTTTCTTAAATGGGAAGCTTGAAGAGGAAGTATACCCGAGTCCCCCTCCTGGGTTTGAGGGACAGTATGGCTCAAAGGTGTGCAAGCTGGAGAAAGCCTTATATGGACTTGAACAGTCCCCAAGGGCTTGGTTTGACAGGTTTACTCAATTCACAAAGAGGCAGGGATTCAAGCAAGCCCAAGCAGATCATACACTATTCATGAAGTTCTCAAGTAAGGGAGAGATTGCAGTATTAATTGTTTATGTGGATGATATCATTCTTACAGGAGACTATTATAAAGAAATTGAAGACCTGAAGAAGAAGTTGGCTCAGGAATTTGAGATCAAAGACCTGGGAGAATGGAAGTACTTTCTTGGCATGGAGATAGCCAGATCAAAGAAGGGAATTGTGGTATCTCAAAGGAAGTATGTACTAAACCTTCTCCAGGAAACAGGTATGAGTGCCTGCAGACCAATAGATACTCCAACTGATCCTAATCAAAAGTTAGGAGATGTCAAAGAAGGAGTACCAGTTAATGTTCAACCATATCAAAGATTGGTGGGAAGGTTGATTTATCTGGCACATACAAGGCCAGATATTGCCTTTGCAGTTAGTATGGTTAGCCAATTCATGCATAATCCATTCCAGGAACATCTAGATGCTACCTACAAAATCCTAAGGTATTTAAAAAGTTGTCCAGGGAAAGGATTATTTTTAAAAAAAGGGACAATAGAAGTGTGGAAGCCTTTACAGATGCAGATTATGCTGGCTCAATAACTGATAGAAGGTCTACATCTGGGTATTGTACTTATGTATGGGGGAATCTAGTGACTTGGAGGAGTAAGAAGTAGAATGTGGTTGCTAGAAGTAGTGCAGAATCTGAACTCAGATCTATGGCTAATGGAATCTGTGAACTACTTTGGATCAAAAGAGTGATTTCAGAGTTGAATATGAAATTGGAACTACCTATGAAGTTATATTGTGATAATAAGGCAGCCATTAATATTGCTCACAACCCTGTGCTACATGATCGTACTAAACATATTGAAGTGGACAGACATTTTATCAAAGAGAAGATTGAAGCTGGAATTGTGTGTACACCATTCATATCTACCAAATAACAAACAACTGATATCTTTACAAAGGGGCTGTTCAAACCAGTATTTGAACTACTTATAAGCAAGTTGGGAATGTATGATATATACTTACCAACTTGAGGGGGAGTGTAGAAAAATGTAACATGTATTTGTTATTTTAATTTTATGTACATCCGGAACTGTATAGATAAGACTTAGAGTAGATAGAACTCTTTAACTAGTAGATAAGCTCGCAGAATAGATAGATCCTATTATTTAGGATCTGTAACAACTAGGCTTTATTTGCAACTTGTATATATATCATTGCCGGATGGCTCAATAATATTCAAGGAAGATTAATTCTTCAAACCTACATCTTCAATAGGTGTTATTCCCACCTTTTGTCTAATTATCTCATTCCTCTAAAAGTCTTTTCTAGTATGGCCACACATCCTATGCAGCATGTGGCATCTCTGCCACACTCATCTTTTGAATGTGACATTATTTCACCGCCCAACACTCTACGCCATACAGACATACAGTAATGCAGGCCTAGTTGAAGTCTAATTACATAAATTCTACTGCCATACATATATTGTACAATATGCTGACAATATATTTCACATATGAGTTGAAGCACCAAATGTTGATCGGGGACAGATTAGACAATGTCGGGTTGTTGGTCCACCAATGCCTTGAACAGATGGCAATAGGCAGAGACAGTCAGATGGAGGGAACTTCTGAGCATGTGTGGATAAATCGACTCTCTAAAACTGCCGCCCAGCTGCTCTTGTCGTGGAAGACATATCTGATGCACACACAAACATTAGGGCGGTAGAGCCAGGATCAGGACTTGTCAAACTAAGGTACTCGAAATATCGAGGAGAGGAGAATATGATCCAACTGACCCCACTGGGCACCAAAGATGGTGGAAATACAAGTACTTCCATCCATGTGATCGGGGATGCAGAAGCCATGAGAAGAACCTGGAAATGTTATGCCCAAGAATGGTATAACATTCTTAGAAGGGTAGTTTCTATATACACACCTGTTGTGCGTCGAGGGTAAGGGGTATCAGGCTAAGTATGTAGGAACAATAGGACCCTGATTAAACAAGCAAACCAATTCCTAGAAGGGTAGTTTCTATATACACAACTCAGAATTACAAGTATTTTCATCATGTGATCAGGGTATGCAGAAGGCACAAGCAGCAACCAGAAAAAGTTCTGCCCAAGAATGGTACTGTACCTGTTGTGGGTAGAAAGTAAGGAGTACCAGGCTGTGTCTGTGCTAATGGGTCGAGCCAGATGAAACTGTGTGGAGGAGAGCAATGGTGGTGTGGCTGTTTCGTTGTTTGAAACAACACTGTTTTGGGAAATGGGATCTGCTGATATGGCTTAGAAGAGAGATTTGGCGGCATGCAAGATTGTTGTTTTTAGCAAATAGAAAAGGAGAGTTAAAAAACATGTCATGATCTTAGGCTCTTGATACCATGATATAGTGGAACAAAGTCTCTATCTAGGATGTCGTTGATCACAATATTTATAGGAATCTATTACAAGGACTCTAATCCGATTAGGAAACAGAACAAGCAAACATAAAGGAATAAGATCATAACTAGGAAACACAAGAAAACCAAGTCCTAGAAGGATACTTTCTATATACACATTTGGGAATACAAACCTATTCTAACAAAGACATGCACAAACATGTGTGAGCACACATACATATATACACATACACACTCTCACACACACTGCTACTATTCATGAACAACAACAACAACAACATCCAAGCCTTAATCCCAAAAGAATTTGGGGTCGGCTAACATGAATCGATCTATGATATCGATGAATCTACTGTTCATGAACAGATGACCCTTATTCCATTTATGATGTTTTTTACTTCTTTACCCGTTTTCATTTTTGGGCAACTTCTACCTTACTATTCATATTCTCTTTCCTACTTGTTTCCTTTTATTCCCTACTTTTTTACTTGTCCTCTCTCTCTTTCATGCTTTTTCTAACCTATACTCATTATCCAACTATTTTTCTTAATCTCCGTGAAAAATTTATAGTCATCTGTTTAATAACGGAGGGATTATATAATAAGCATAGGAGTGTACCATGACAAAGAAATAGGAAGCTTTCGCCACTGGCTAATGAGCAAGCTTGTAAAAGATATTCTTCTGCACCAGAGAAATCTCTAGTCCAAATTGCACTCAGACCATGCACCAAGTTGAATATAGCTAGCCAAGGGTTCCATGAATGACTCACATATTTTGAATGCTCCTCAAATCTTAAAGCTAATGCAGTGGAATCTGTGTGTAGCTTGTATTGGAATTCAAGAAACTGAAGACAAATCCAACCAATATGACAACCAGTTTTAAGCCCCAAGCATGTCAGATATTCATCAGATAATTTAACAGGATTCTCTTCCACAGCATACACACGGCATAGAAGCAAGTGAGCAAAGAACATATACTGATTGGGTAGTGATAGATTTGTAGCAGTATTAGCATTTGTGATGCAGTTAGAATAGTTCCCACATTGCAAACTGACCTCAGCTGCAATAAGTAAGAGCTGGAACTTCTGATACTGATGAGCAAGATCCTTTATTGAATACAACTCATTACAAAGAACACAACTAGTAAGCCGGTCAAGTGCTGCACATAAATAATGAGGAAATCTCTCCCTTCTAGTCCTTTGAAAAAAGTTAGCTATGAGCAAGTACCGTGTACTTTGATTCCATGGCTCTTGATGCAAGTGCCTGTAAATTAGAAAAGTCGAAGAATATTATGTATTAACAACCACAATGAAACTCCTTATATGCAAAAAAAGAGTCCTGTTCGAACACTTCAATTGTCCCAAAAGTCCAGTTTGATGCAATAAAGATAATTGTTTTTCAAGTGATTTGCCAAAAGCTACCAAAAAGTTGCATAAAATAAATTTAATAAAATCAACAACAACATCCAAGCCTTATTCCCAAATAAATTAATAAAATCAACAAACAAACATACAGATATCAATAGATTCATGATTGATGGTGTACCTTAAGTCCTTTACCACAATATAAAAAGTTATATATCAACTAATCATCCTTTTGTTTTAGAATGAATGTAGAATTATAATGTCTATCTGTGCATGCAGAGAAAAAACTATGATTATCAAAGTGAAACAAAAAGTTCAGCATCAGGCAAGCTGTTGGAAACAAAAGAATCATTATGATAAAGAAGTTTTCGAGATGTAAGGAAATAGATCAACACACTTCTGTAACAGCTGCACAGTATTGCATCTAGATGTAGGCTTCTCTTTGCATTGTGTGAGTGACACACATTGTAAGGCATGGCAAGCTACTCCCTCAGCACCAAGAATCGCAAGTGCAGATCTTTTATCATTAGGATTTGGGTGGTAAGAAGGGTCCATGATAATGCATCTAGTTGAAGTGTGAAAATGTATACCTTCTGTGCTTAATAACAGTAGATGACCAAGAAGATTCCTGTAGACAATAAGCCATAACTGAGACATATGGTTGGGTGATTCGGGAAAGAAACATTAGACATTGGCTTTAAAACGGAAAAATGACTTTGTAGCCTTGAAAATGTTTCTGAAATTTCAGAAAATCTCAAAACAAAAATGACATGAGGTATATGTTGTCCAAAACTTTAAAGTATAAATGCACAGACTTGAAGAGAGAAAATGCAAATTTGAACTAAATGTGCTGCCAAGTAATTGTATATCTGAACAAGTAAACCACTTATGTCCAACTCAAGTATCATGTACATGAGTAAATCAATCAAGATATGAGAAAATGTACCTGATATTCAACTCTCTATATTACGTCCCATAAGATGCCAAATTAAAGTTTAGATGACTATGACTTGTAAGCAGAATATGGATAAAGCTAACAAACAACTACTCCAGCACAGGTGGTCTACAATGGAAAAGTAGCAAACATAACAAGGACAACTAATTGAATTACCTTAACAAGTGACTATTGGGATATAAATGCAGTGATTTGCGCACATACTGAAGTCCTTCCTTAAATCCAAGGCAATCCCTAGATCCATGTTTCAACTGCAACACCAAAAGAAAATAAAATTCCTATTTAGCATATGCACATAAAGGTAAAATTAGACTTCATGTGATACAAAAGCTTACTAGTTCACCCATTGCCGCTAGACAATCCATTGTAGCATACTGTTCAACCGAAACAGTTGAATTAGTAGTGCTTGAAATAGCTGAATCAAGCTGATTCCTGTTATCTAATGCATCAATAGCTGATGCTACAAAACTGACTTTTGGACTTCGTAATAATCCCTTCGGTAGTTTCAATAAGAATAAAACAGAAGCATCATGCCCTGATATCTGATATCGCAATCTACAAATAAAACTAATAGATGTGGTCGCCAATGACTGGTTCATGGATGAAATATTTTCCGCAAGTTTTCCTGCCACTGATAAAGCAAGATTATCATTTCCAAGCTTCCATAAGCACAGTGCATAAATCTGCAAACCTTCAGCATCAAGAAGACCTGGTGTTTCATTAGGAAAAAGTAATATCAAAATAAGCTGAAGGATTTGGACCAGAACACTACAATTATAATTATATTCTGCACTTCAAACTAAGAATGGAAGCAAGACTAGAAAGGCATATAAATGTTCTTGTAACTTATGCACATTTCCTTGTGCCTACACTTCATAATATTTAAATACTTCATCCCAACTGTGATAGTATGAAAGTAGGTATTCTATTTCTCATTTTTTATACTGACATAGAATGGGGTGTGTTTACAGTTATGGAGTTGGCTGAGACCATCACGCTTAAGGGTTACACCCCCCCCCCCCCTCCACACAACATATTACATCTTTACATCACCAGTCACCACCCCATGGCCCATATACCTGGGCATAGAGGTATTTCCTAGCATCATCATAGGCACAAATAAGGAGAAGAAGAACCGAGGATGGTTGCTTGTTATGAGAGTGGTTAGCAACCCATTTCAGATCAAGGGTAAAGGGGACGAGAGAGAGGAAGAGTAAAATAGCATAAGCTAGATATAATGGGTGCCCAACTTTGTCAAGACACCGGAAATATTCTTGATTAGTAGGTTATTGAATAATACTTTTATAGGCATCATTGTAAAACAAATGACCAAGAGGCCACGTTAGGTGATGTGATGGTCGATGGATTTGATGTGCCGTCTCAGGAGACTATTGTACTTTTTTCTGTTCCACTCTCCAATAACTTCATTCTTTAAATACCGCAATGCATTTGGCAACGGAATTATCATCATCTCTTCTAGTAGCAGTGGAGATGATGGGAATAACTCAGATGGAGTTTTAGGAGTGGGTACTAGCGGTTCAAGCGACCTTTTCAAAACACAAGAATTAATTCTTCAGATGACCCATATATAGCTATTACAAGAGCTCTGATCATAATAGAACAACACAAAGCTAGGCTAGGAAGAAGTAGACAAAATTAACTAAGTAAATAATAATACTAATAAGAATGCACGATTACATTAAGCTAGGCTAATAAGAAGTTGACCGAGTAAATAATAATACGACTAAAAAGTTCGACTAACTAAGAAGAAACCTGTAGATGCTAACTCGAGAATATTAAGAGACTAAGAGATATCACAGAGAATATCTAAACCATATCTTCTTTGGGAGAGAATACTACCATTGCAAGATGTGCAGCCTTGAAACCATGAAAAAATTTCAGCATCCCCAAGTCTTTACTCTGAAACTTGCTTAGTGGATACCTCTTTAGTAGAGATATACCTCAAAATCAATAGTAATGACAATGTCATTAACATATAATACACATGATAGGAATCGGGCATATTAGGCTAATAATAGAAATAATAATAATAATTATACAGGTAGTATAAATAGAAGGGAAGGGAGGAATAAAGGGTAGGCAAGTATTCAGTTGGGATTGGGATGGGAGATTGAGACTTCCCTAACAGTCTCGTTACTTTCTGTATTTTCAGTTGTACATTCACCATTAATGCATTCTTGAACAGTTTACACTTTCGTTACTAATTCTTTAGTTACCTGCGAGTATTCTATCATTGGCGTCAGAGCACCAATTCTGGAGAGATAAAAAATGGAGTGGAATCGATAAATTGGAGAGAGACATGCTACAAATGGTTAAAGATCTGCGGACTATCATCGAACAGTGGAGTCACATGTGAGTGAGGAGCCATAGACGTCATCGGCCATCTGAAAACCAGTGCTCGTCGTGGTCATCAACCACGTCTCCCAGTTCGTCACCAAGTGCGCAGGTTTCTTCTCAGTCGCGATCAACTCTTTCCAGATCTATGGCTTCGTCGCAAACTGCTTCTCCTCACCGATCATCATCGTTTGTCATTTCTCCTAGCTCGCAGATGTGAACCACTTCTCCCAGTTCGCAGATACGAACTGCTTCTCTCAGTTCGCATATTGTGTCGCAATCAGAAGTCTCCAGTTTGCAGTCGCTCGCCTATTCTCACCGTGCGTCAGTTTCATCGTCCCTACAGGTGTCATCAGTTTCAAGAACCAAAAACCTAGATGAAACAAGAGAGGGATTCCAAGGCACTCCACCGTTGGCAATGAACAATAAGTTGAAGCTAGCCGCATCTTCAGATCTGGAACCAGATGCGAGCTATAGTATTATTCAACCTATGGGATATCCACTAGAAGATCCGGAAGGTATGGAAAACGTGGATTCAAATTCCAACTCATCTCCAAAAGATGCTTTGCCTGAAGAGGTGCAAGAGAATAAAATTGGGATTGTTGTATGCAAAGAGAAGTGTGGTTCATCTGTTTCTTTTTGCTCCCGTGCATCTGGATGGAAAAGGTCCAAGTACCCTTGACTCACCTGCCAACTTGTGGGGTGGCCTTTTGACAGGAGAGCTCAGAATTACAGATCCTATTACTAAGAAAGCAGCGGGAAATTATGTAGAACAATATATTGAAGTCAATGAAAAGGTAAAATTGAAGCAAGGCTTGAAAATGGCCATGTCTTTTTCTGGTGAAGGAAATGCTTACCTACAAGAAAACTAACTTTGGAAGTTTTATATGGTAGATAGGCTTTCATGTTCCATTTTTAGGAGAACGGATGTTGGTATAGTGTATCTCTTTGCTTGCTTGTTAGAGCCTTCTATGCCTTCCTTTTCATATGAGGTAGTCAAAGAATTGAAAGAGGAAGAAGTTGAAAGGTACAGAGAGAAGTTTGCATCCAGTACAGTATTAGTTTCAAAAGAGAGAAACCCTGAGGAGCCGCAGAAAAGTAAAGAAACATTTGTTGCAATCAAGTGCTGGAAAGTTACTGAAGTAAATGAAACTTCACTAGATATCTCTTCTGCTTCTACTGCCGAAACGCCTGTGATCTTAAAGATGTAGGACTGAAGTGCCTAGTCCAGCAATCAGTCAAGTGTTGGGAAGGGAGAAGCGCAAGGATGAACAGGAAGCTGAAGATCATGGCTGTTTCCTATCACCCACCTTGAGGACAAGGTGGTTGTCTAAGGGGGGAGATATGATAGGAATTGGGCATATTAGGCTAATAATAGAAATAATAATAATTGTACAGGTAGTATTAATAGAAGGGAAGGGAGGAATAAAGGGTAGGCAAGTATTCAGTTGAGATTGGGCTGGGAGATTGAGACTTCTCTAACAGTCTCATTACTTTCTGTATTTTCAGTTGTAAATTCACCATTAATGCATTCTTGAAGTTCTGAATGATTCTTCAATAGTTTACACTTTCGTTACTAATTCTTTAATTACCTGTGAGTGTTCTATCAAACACATGGATTTGTCATAGTGGAAAGAATAATAGTATAGTGATTAACACTTCAACTCACACTCGTGGGGAGTGCTTAAAATATTATAATGAATGACACAATCACTTGGTGAACCACACTCTTTATGAGCAACAATACCAGGTGATTTCTCGATATACACCTCTTTGTGCAAATTTCGTGGGGACTGCTTAAAATATTATAATGAGTGACACTAATTTAGTGAACCACACTCTTCATGAGCAACAATACCAGGTGTTTTCTCCATATACACCTCTTTGTGCAAATCTCATTATAGGAAAGCATTTCTGATATTCATGGAATAAGGACTAATGATTCATAGTTTCCATTGACGATCTTAGCCTTAGTCCCGGTAAGGAGGTACGTGTTTAATCTAACCCATAAATCATAATTTTTATTTGGTGGTCAACTGTGCTTTGTATCGATAAGTCTTTATCCACCGACAACCAAGAACAGATTACCAAATGTAAGCAGTGCCAATTCACATGACCCACTACAAAGTAGAGCAACCATCTCAGCTAACATAACCTCACGCCACTATAGATGAGACAGTGTCTCATGGGTAGTTATGGGAATCCTCAGAGCAGTTAAGTGTGAAAGAAATGTAGCATAAGAAGTGGAAACAATATGATAACTATGGCTATTTATATAATGAGGATTGAGAGAAGGACGTAAACCTTTCTGTGGACAATGGGCAGATCATTATTATTTATATCCACCTCTGGATCCGTAGCAGGGGACTCAGCAGGTATACCCCCAAAAGGGTTAGGTTAGGGAAGACGGTGGTGAACCTCTAAAGGACAAAAAGAATTTGGAATACTCCAGATAGGATTTCTAACAAGGGAGAGGATTCTGAGATATGGTAGGGAATTAGAAAGAGTGGATAGAAAAAGGACCACGGTACCCAGCTCAGATAAAATGATGGTTCAGTTGTGGAATATATCGGCAGCAACTCTATTTAACTAGTGAATACCCAAAGGCACACTTTGTCGACCTAAAAGACATTCAGGTTGTCCAAGTCTTATATTATGGAGAAAACAAACACATCCAAATATACAAGGTGGTAAACAAACAAATCACAATTAGGGAATAAGAATTTCATTCATATACGGTGGATGGCGTTTTATTAATCAAGTGACATGTGGGGGAATGACGTTTGATCATTATTAAGAGGTACATTATAAAGTACTACCTCCGTCCCAGCTTAAGGTTCCCATTGCAAAATGGCACGGTTATTTAGACAATAACTAAATAAAATAGTTCTAGTGTATTTTTAGAAATAATTTTGATGGGTATATAATATAACGGGATCATTGATGATAACCGTGCTGTTATAGATGTATTATTTTTAATATTTGATGATTAAATTGCTATTTAAGAGTGCTACTTATTTCCTAAAAATAGGAATGGTAACCTTTAGCAAGGACATACAAAAAAGGAAAGTGAGAACCTTAAACTCGGACGGAGGGAGTAATAAGTAGGTGTGAGATTTATCTACTGAATGAAGGTTAGTACATTCTACAACCTCATTTCGCTGAGGTGTATGAATGCAACACAGCTGATCGGCGTTGGACGATACCGAAATCGACATGATTAGATTATATGGTGTTGTGAACGAATGCTTTAGCATTGTCAGTTTGTAAGATCTTGATAAAAGAATGGTCCTTCATTAAAAAAGGAATTGAAGAGAGGTGCAACCTCTTTTAATTCCAGCACACAAAAATTAT